GAGATTTATCTACCACTATCAATGTCAATTTAGATTGATAGCTCCATATCTACTCGCATATACACTGTAATGTTTCTTAATTGAGGTATTTTGTCAGCTAACAAGACATTAGACAATGTCTGGGGACATTTCTGTTGCTTACAATAGAGGGAGCTACTGCTGGCATCCAGAGGATAGAGACTAGAGATGTTGCCAAATATCCTACAAGACACAGAACAGCCCTTAAATAAATAAATAAAAACATGCACCAAAATATTAACAGTGCTGAAGTACAGCAAACTTGATGCATAGTTATTGAAATCTACATACAGGAAGACCTCATTTTGCATAGGACAGTGTTGACTGAAATTTGATCTCATAAAGAATGAAAAAGAGTTCCCATATGCAAGAGATTCAGCTAACCTGATACCAGAAAAAAGGGAGCCTGTCTCTATTTTACTGTTAGTTAACACTGAACTCTCCATGTTACAACAAGAGACAGAAGACAGAAGACTTTTTTTTAGAAATAAAATCTCACTTCAGTCTATGCTTCCCTAAGCAAAATATTTAAATGCATGATACCTATAACTCACTGGACTTTCTGTTTATAATATTGTAACACATTTTACAAAATCTCTCTCCCTTACTCTTCTTCCATTAGTGAAACTAACACTATTTGTTCCCTTCCGTTTAAGTCCCTGCTCCTGTCACACAGCAGTCCAATAAGTTGCCACATCCCAGTGGCTCTGCTCCTGACTAGATCTAGCATATCTATCTTTGCTGCACATTCTCAATATCATATTGCTTACTCACGTCTTCCTCTTCTTCTTCACAGACTTCAACCATAACAAAAGCACAGAATCCCTGACACATAATCTATTTTAAGTGTATGTAATAAATAAAACCTGTTTCCTAATGAGTTAATTTTAATACAGCACAACTCTACTCATGTAAAGTCTTACTCACAAACCTGTATTTCTCCACTGTCTACTGAATAATCTGACCCTATGAACCCTAGTTTCAGTCCTCGGTGAGTCACTAGTGTTCTCCTTGTGACAAATTCCCCTCCTAGCAGGTTGGTGCCTCTTCATGTGATCACACCCTGTGGTCCCGATTTGTGCCTCTGCCCACATCAGTACTCAACCAGAAACCTCCTTCCTGATGCATTTCAGCACCAGCTCCCGAAACTGACTAGTGTTAATGTCACCTTTCCTACTAAGTCTTTCCTGGAAATCCATGGGAGCTATTTTTTTAAGAATAGCTCACATATGCCATTGATTTCCAAATACCAGTCCACAGACAAACTATTACTGACATTTCTCCCTGCTTATGACAAAATCATATAAGAGCCGGCAAGATAGCTTAGCAGACTAAGCGCCTTCTTAGGCTACCTCAGGGACTGAGGTTCAATTTTCAGCACCACATGGTGGGCCAGCCCCACTCCCGGGCGTACTGAGCTGGCAACCAAATCTAGGCTTAGTGGAGCATGCCTATAATCCCACAGGAAGATCACTATGAGTCTAAGCTACATAGTGAGATCCTCTATCAAATACATACATTAAATAATAATCATAATAATGTAAATAAAAACAATGTAGTGAATGTTTCATAAAGTCATATTTATTCATTTTATATTCAGCCTAACTTTCAGTACTTACAAAAACCCTGGGTTTTTTTTGTTTTTGTTTTTGAACAGGGATTGAACTCAGGCCCTTGTGCTTGCCAGGGAAGCGCTTATTCTACTGAGCCATCTTCCCAGCCCCCTGTATCTTTCTTGACTATAGTGTTTCTACTTTTTAAAAAAATCTTCATCTCTATCACATTTTTCCTCATGTTATCAAGTGGCCAAATTTCAGCCATAATTATTGTGTGAGATTGTTTGCCAAAGGATTTCACAAATGTCCAGTAGACCGCTGGACTGCCGTTTGCATTTCCTACTCTCTTGCACTCAGTAGTTAACTGAAGTGGACACTGAGCTGCATCACTTGAATCCTGCACCCCAGAGAACTTGTTACCCCAGCTGTTTGAAGGGCTGTTGGCACACAGCCTTCAGCTGCCAGCCCCCAGAAGACCAATTCCACTGCAGACAGCCACCTCAACCAAGGCCATGCTCCTTCTCGGCAGCTACAGCAATGACAACTGACACCATCCTGAGAATACTATGCAGGACAATACTAACTAACTTCAAAGGTTTTACTGGATGGACCAGAATTTTTTGCTTCATTCTGCAAGTTTTCCTTTTGTTTATTTCTCCTGTCCCTTTTCTTCCACTGGTACAGATACTGTGGATACTGCTGTCCACAGCCTTTACCTAGTAAACTCCATCTCACAGTTGACTTCCTAGGAAACTGTAAAATCCCGAACTGTCTTCTTAATCTTCAGAGATTTATATTACATCTTGAAAATAATAGGTACTTTATCATTATGCAGTAAGATTAAAGTAAGAAAGATCCTCTCATTTGACTTGGGTTAGAGAAATGTTAAACAGACATAGCTTAATAGCTCATTATTTGTATGTCTTTCACTGTGACAGTGTCAAAGAAATTCTACATTAGCACTGGTAAGTTCTTATTTTGAATTTATAAGCTGGAATGAGTAATTAAATTTAAAGTGTCAAATGATAAGATCCACTTAGAAAGGATTATGGGCCATAAAATCAGAAACCGAATTGAGAGTACAAGAAAGAAATTATTAGAAGGATGGCAAAGCTCATATATATGTATAATACATGAGGGCAATATCACCTGCTTAGGACCACGCCAAAAGGAACTCATGGGCAATCTCCTCAGCTCTCCATCACCAGAGTGAACAATTGATTTTTTTCTTCCAGAATAACTTCTTTTGAAACTCAAGTTGCAGGGCAGAATTCTTTCCTTGTCCTGACCTGGGCCACATGCCATCTTGATTTAAAAAAAAAAAAAAAACTGGTAGAATCCCTGAATGGACAGGTCTTACATGGCAACTGCATTGCTATGACTAAAATTAGGGTGGTGCCAACACAGTACGCACTGAGGAATCCATCTGCCTTGCACAAGTGTATGAGATGACACAAGGAAAACATCCCAAGACTCTTGGTCTCGGGAGAAACTGAGAAGTATTGCAGTAGCTGCTGCCATGTAAATGTAACCCAAAAGCCCTGTATAGTTTCACATTTCCAAAAAGTATTAAGTAAAAATATTTTATTGATAGGATATTCCAGAGGAATATCTCAAAAGGTAGAAAATATTGATACTTAAAATATCAGCTAAACTTACAAAAATAGTTTGAGAGCAAGTTGCTTACATTATTGAGATTAACTTACATTATTGAGATTAACTTGTTTTTTGACTATGGAAGTTAAATAATAAGCCAGATGTGGTAGTCCTGAACAACTGGTCTTGGGATGTAACTCAGTTTTAGTTAACTGGATTCAATCACTGCTAGTGCAATAAATAAATATTTTACTATAGTGATACAATACTTACATCATCTATAATTATAGATAGAATAAGTGGCTTCCTGGTATAAGATTACTTATACAGCTGTTCCTCTAATGTTAACCTTTAAAGGGCCAGGAATATAGCTCAGTGGCATACACACTTACCTGGCAAGTGCAAAGTCCCGAGTTCAATCTCTAGTACTGCAAATAAACAAACAAACAAAGTTAAACTTTAAAAGATACCATTGGATCTGAATCCAGTTATACCTGAAGTCTTTCTTGAACACCTGTTAGGAAACCAATAGATTTTATTCACTTATTTTTTAGCATAAGCTACTTGTACTTAGATTGCTGCCAACTGCATTTATGAATCTCTTTACAAAGAAATTTCAAGGCACTAAAAGATATATACTATAGATAGAAAGGCATCTTATTTTGTAGGGAGACAAAATAAGCCGATCCCAGAGCTTAACATAGTATAATGATGTGTTTCATTGATTGTATATGAAGTGTTTCTAAAGCATCCACAAATAACTTTTTAAATTTAATATTATTATAATGTAATTAAAATATACTTGGCATATCAAGCTCAACTGTTCTTTTGTATGCAAATATGACAAGTGCTATGGAAACATTATTTTTAAAAAATTTTAAAGCATTGACATAGTTGGACTACTCATTCATTACATTTTGCTCTGAGTATTGTAACAGCTACCAATAGAGCAGACAATGGGACATAAATATTATATTTCATAAATATCATCAGGAAAAAGTATTAAATCTTTCCAGTGCTTCTGGAAAGCCTATTCAATCTCTGCAACTAATTCCAAAAGAAATATCTCATTTAGCACTTTTATGAAGACACTATTAAGTTATATTACTTAAGAAAATGTCTGCAGCAATAGTTTTGAAGTAATAAACATAAAAGTAAACTTCTGATTTTTTCTCTAACAATCTTTTATAAATGTAAGGAGTTTTTAAAAAAAAAAATAACAGTCTATTTGGTTCCATGAAAGACTTAACATGGTACCACTTTGCAGTCTTCCAGAGATCTAATTTAATCAAAAATAAACTGAAATTACCTACGGGTTTCAATGGAGATCATTTCCACTGAAAACTTTTATAACTACTTCATAGCTTACTGGGTTTTGAAAGTAGCCGAACAGCAAGCAGTTAGAGCTCATGCTATTTCAGGTTGTCTTGGAATACTAGCGTTCTGTGTGGGTAATTGAGGAAATATTCATACGCTTTTAAAATCAAAAGAGCAAAATACAACTGTAATTGATGACAGAGAGAGGAAAGCTTTTTTGTTAATTCAAAGAATTCTGCAGCAGCCACACTTAGGGACCTTTTCTATTACGCTATGATATAGACATAATGTTCCGCAGAACAGAATACAATTTGTGAGAAGTCCACATGTAGTCTTTCAATTAAGAATTAGAGGAATAGAAGCTGGAGGGAGGGAAAATAAGAATCTAGTTTACAAAAAGAACAGTTAATATAATAGGAAAATTGCACGAGGCCACTAAAAGTAAGAACAGGAGTAAGCCTCGGAAGGCAACTCTTGGGAAGGAAACTGAAACAGTTTAAGGAAGAGTAAAGTGATAACAAATGAACTGTACATACCAGGAGAGATAGAACATGCCCAGAGAATAAACATCCTTGGAACAATGCTTTGTCTTATTTAGAAAGCAGGAAGAGTATATTATTTGGTATCTTTAGGCACTAAATAGTTTTCCTCATACTCTTTGTTAAGTAAGTGTGAAGACTAAAGTAAAGACTCAAAGGCTCAGCTGTCATTTAAATATTTAGCACTTGGAGATCCATGATTATTTATCATAAAAAGAAACAGACATTCTCTGATCACAGTAGTTTCTTAGGGCTCTAGAACTCTTCCCCTTCTTTCTTTCCCCTTCTTTACTTACTTCTTTTGTATCTTTATTCAATTAGTCAGAATTCTTATAGAGTCCGTGCTAGGCAGTGGTGCATCATATCCAGGAAAAAGATTCATAAATGAGGACACATACTTATAAAAAAAAAAATACAGGATCCTTAGAGTCAAATGAAAACAAATAATTTTACTATACTTTAAGCTGGGATGGGATTGACTTGCCTCTAAATTGAATCACAGGCACAGAGGAAAAAGAAAAAAAATCTTCTGGGAAATTCAGAGAAGTTATCACAAGTGATATAAATATATAACCTGATTATTAAAGGAAACCTTAACTATAGGTAAACTTGGAGAAACACAAGAGAGGTTGTTTTAAACTGAGAGAATACAGTGGAAGAAAATGTGGCCTGCTCCAGCAACTGCAAGTATGATTGGCAGCATACTGTATAAACTGTGTATGGTTAGGGGAAGAGGAGGAGTTATCAACAAGTGAGGTCGGAGAATTAGGAAGTGACAGATACTAAAAAGCCTGATCAGGCTGGCCAGACAGCTCAGTGGATTAAAGCACCTGCTTAGGCAGACTCAAGGGCCAGGATTTGATCCCTGGCCTGCTGTGCCAGCCCTGCCCCCAGGGTGAACTGAGATGGAGATTGAGACTGGGCATGGTGGTGGCCCCAGCACTTTGGGAGGATGAAAAACAGAAAACAGGAAGGATCATAACAAGTCTGAACTGTGTAGTAAGACCCTCTAGACACTGTACTAAATACATTTAAAAAAAAAAAAAGCGTGATATGTCTTGGGAAGGAAGGAAGGAAAGAAGGAAGGAAGGAAGGAAGGAAGGAAGGAAGAAAGAAAGAAAAAGAAAGAAAGAAAGAAAGAAAGAAAGAAAGAAAGAAAGCAGAAAGATCTTGCCTTGCTAACAATGTGGAGCTTCTGAAGAAGCTTTGTTAGGGACAGATAACATAATCAAATTTTTGCTTACAAATGGAAAAAGAAATATAGGATTACTTAGGAGATGGTTAAAGACTGAAAATAGGGGACTAGCTAGGTAGTTAAAAATGCTTGATCTAGGGTGCAGGAAGAAGAGATGAGAATGAGGCGACAGTAGGCTAACAAGAGAGAAACTTGGCAGAATGCAAGGATAGCACAAGAAAACAGGAGGGCTTTAAGGTTGCTCACTGCAAAAGAGTGTGGGATGGTGTTTGTTATTCGCTAAGATAAGCAACACTGGAAGAGGAAAATTTTGAAGTGAAGACCATGCATGTGGGTCTGTGTAAGGTGACTGCAGAGCTTATCACTATAGCTGTAGTGCTAAACCTCAGGAGAAAGGTCTGGAGGGCGACTTGGGAGTCACAAAGATGCAGCAGAAGTCATAGGCATTAACAGGGTCACTGAGAAAGGCACAGTTCTGGAAAGACTTAAATCAGCTCTCTTGCTGACTGTACAAGTAGCTGTGTTTGAGGAGTATGGTTAGTAACAACCCCTTAAGCTGTGAAAAAGGGAAATTAAAAAAGAAGGTACATAAATTAAAGTAAAGTAAGCTTATTGGCAAGTAATAAATAATCAGTAATAATTAAAATCAATAATCAATAATTAAAATGCAAAGCCAATAGAGAAAATGGAATGATTACATACGTGCCAGAGGCAGACATCACATGAATTCATGGCGAAGAGTCTTCCACGGAGAAAGCAGTAAATTCTACCAAGATGTTACATAACTAAAGTTTCTCAGGTTATTGGTGTGCTCAGTCTTTGGCATGTTGGAGTTGAAAACAAGCTCATATCGCATGATTACTGAAAGACAAAGAAGGAAGTGTAGACAGTGAAGATAGACTACTCATTTTAGAACTTGGCTGGGGAGAGGAAAGATACAGGTCAGCAACTAAATAGCCAAGGTTTATTTATTTGTTAATCTATTTAAATTGCCTGCCTCAAGAAAATAGTTTTGAGACATATTTGAGCATATTTATACTCTTATCAGAAAGCCCAATGGACAAAGATAATTATATGAAGAACAGAAGAAGTGTCACTGGGAAACAAGGACACAGAAAAACTTAAAGCAGAAAGCTTCAGGAAGGGGAAAGTGTAATGGCTCAGTGAGCACAGGAGTGCCAGGCACCGGTAGATGCTTGGGTTAATTTTACTGTTACTTGAAGAATTCCAGGAGCTGTCAAAAGATCTTAAATTCCACATAGGCAGAGTGGGCTACCTACAATACGTTAGGGAAGAACTGCCTAAGAACTAACTGGCAAAAAGACTGGGCATGGTGGCATACACCTGTAATCCCCGCTCTTGGGAGGCTGTAAACAGGTGGGTCACTATGAGTCCGATCTAGTAGTGAGACCCTGACCACCTATAGACTCTTCCCTAAATTACTAAATAAATAAATAAATAGATAAAGGAAAGATTTTTTTAGAAGAAGAAGAAGAAGAAGAAGAAGAAGAAGAACAACAACAACAACAACAACAACAACAACAACAACAACAACTAACTAACTGGCAAAAAATTCACCATTGGGAATAAACCAGGACCAGTGATTTACGCAGCTTTAGAAATGGAAAAGTTCCATTCCAAGGGCAAAATCAGTACTATCAGAGATGACATTCAGAATACTGAACACTGTAAGCGCATCACCATGAAATGACAATGTCAACACATGGAGGAATTAGAAGGACATAGAAATCTAGGAAGTCAAATTCAGAACAATTCCTTGGTTTGTAGAATTTTAGAAAATGGGGGCCGGGGAGATGGCTCAGTGGAATAAGCGCTTCCCTGGCAAGCGCAAGGGCCTGAGTTCAATCCCCGGTTCCACAAAAAAAAAAAAAAAAAAAGAGAATTTTAGAAGATGATTGTCCTTTTCAGACCCATATCACTGAACATAAAAATCCCTAACAATATTTAAAAAGAGTTAAGCAATATACAAAAAAGATAGCATGTCATTATCAACTGTAGTTTATCACAGGAGTACAGATTGTTTCAATATTTAAAACTCAGCTCATTTTATCATATCACAGACTAAAAAGAAAAGGAATATGAACTTATCTAATAGATACAGAAAGAGCATTTCACAGAATTTATCATCCATTTATAAGGAAAACTCTCAACACACTGAAGATAGATAAGAACTTCCTCAACTTGATAAAAAGCATCTAATATCACACTTCATAATGAACAAAGAAGTCGAAAACAGATAAACTATAAGGACTATCAACGATACTATACAAAAAGGTAGTCCTTTTAAATGATCAGTGAATTAATAGTTTTAAGAACACAGCTTTTTGTTTTACCTAAATGTCTTAGTTCTGGTGGACCTGGACTGGCTCTGGGATTGGTCCCTGGGATTGGTAGCACACACTTGTAGGTGTACCTGGAAAGGTCACAAAAGTGTCACGCTGGGGGTCTATGCCTCATCTCTCTTTCCTTCCCCCATGGCCCTGTTTCCCTGCTGTGCTTCCTGCTGACATGAACTAGGCAGTTTCTCTCTGCCACGCATTTCCACCATGATGTCTCTGTCTGGGAGTCAGCTTCTCAAAAATCTCCCCTTCTCAAAAATCCTCCCCTCCTTACATTAGCAGAGTCAGGTATTTTGTTCCAGAAACAGGAAAACTAACTAATACATTGAAATATTAAGAACATGTACAGCATAATTTTTTAAAACTTGGCTTATTACTTTTTGAAATTTGTCCTGAGTTTAATTGTAAGATGAGTTTGTATATACACTGTACTTTAGTATATACAGCTAAAACACTATAAAAATACACAGCTAGGGGGCCGGGGAGATGGCTCAGTGAAATAAGGGCTTCCCTGGCAAGTGCAAGGATCTGAGTTCATTCCCCGATTCTGAAAAAAACAAAACAACACAACAAAAAACAACAACAACAACAACAACAAAAACAGCTATAGAAGAAGCCAGGCATTAGTTCTGCTCATTCAAGTATGATGCTTATGTTTCTAATTGCATCCATCTGCATTGCATTTGTTGAAATTTTGAAAGTAAATTTCTTGCAAACTGAGAAGTTTCCATATTTTTGTTCAATATAAAACACACTGAAAATGTTTTTATTTGGAAAAAACTTTAAACATTGTTTCAAAGTATTTAAGTTTAGGAACATGAGTTTTTATAAATAACAGACTTTTAGGTTCTGAGTTTTAAAAATCACATAATGATGGGCAGAATACCAAATGACTATTAAGAAAACATGCATTGGATAATTCAAATTACTTTTTTTTTGGTGGAACCAGGGATTGAATTTAGGCTCTTGCGCTTGCCAGGGAAGCTCTTATTCCACTGAGCCATCTCCCCGGCCCTCAAATTACTTTTGAAAAGCAGTTACTTTCTCACTCAAGTTTAAAAACCCAAAGCAACATATTATGTCTCATTTTTCCTTCTTAAAAAATATCTTATTACAAAGTACTTTCAGCTCTATACTTCACAAATTACTGGTTTAGCAACCCTGAATGAAATAGGTTTCATTTTATGATCCTGTGGTTTTTTTTTTTTTTTTTTTTTTGAACTGGGGACTGAACTTAGGCCCTTGCACTTGCCAGGGAAGCGCTTATTCTACTGAGCCTTCTCCCCAGCACCCCCCCCTTTTTTTTTTCACTATTTTCTTTCTTGGAACCAGGAATCGAACTCTGGGCTCTGTGCTTGGTAGGCAGGCACTGCGCTGCTGAGCTACATTTCCTGCTAAGTTTTAGTTTTGGCTATCTCAGTTCTATAACTGCTCAAAACACATTCTTTTAGAATTATCACATAAAATGTCCATCCATAGTGTTCTTTCGTACCAGGTTGTGCTCTGAGGCAAGCGTTTGTCATTTTCATTGATTAATTTACCCACTGCTATTTCACACTCTCCAGTTCCCAATACCTTTATTTGACGGAAAAAAAAAAAAAACTATGCTATTATTCTAAGGCTTGACAAATTTCTCTAAAAGGCCAGATAGTAAATACTTTATAAAACTTTTGTAAGTCATAAGATTTCTTTTAACTACTTACACCTACTGTTTGTTGACCCTTGTCTTAAGGCTCTCTAGATTCAGTAGATACAAATCCTAATAGCCAGAGATGATAACACAATTCTCTGCTGTCTGATGTTAGTGTTTCACCTTACAATATGAGAATTCACTTTTCTTTTCCTCATCAAAGCCTGGTATTCAATTCTACACAACTGAACTGTCCTGAAGTTCTATTACCCGCAACAACCCTCATGGTGAAAATTTCAGAATCACCTCGGATTTTCAGTTGCAAACAACTGAAAACAAGTACAGTAAAAAGGCTATAATGAGCCTATTACTAGAAGGCTATAATGAGACTCACAAATCAGCTTACTTTTCATCTTAGGCCACCTTCCTATTCCATTTGATACCATACTAGTTCACTGCGTAAAGTAACATCAGGTTACAATGACTTGCATAGCAGGAAGTTGCAAGTATACAAGGTTCTTCTTCATATAAATGATTGGCAGGGAGACATAGCATATATATATACATCAAACACAGGGGTCTGGTCCTTCAGAAATATGAGGGCCAATGTTCTAAGGCATATGAAAACATCTTCAAAATACAGGACAATTTATTATTCCTTCCATGCCTTTCCAGTTGCAATGGGCTTGGCGGGCCTATTTGGAGGACTACAGCAATAGATCTAATTCTGTCCTTTGTTTCAACTCCTCTCTAGTCCCTCCCCAGGGGTTATAAAATTGCTATATTGGAATGGAGCCAAGAGCAAAAGGCAGCACTCAGTTCACGCTGAAGCACAGTAGTCTGTCAATGGACCGTGGTAACACATAAAACCAGCAGTGCTTGGAAAGCCTGAGGAAGATTGTAATGTTGTATGGACTTGCATTAAAACAGGAAATTGTAACATGGTGACATTCTTCTCATGTGTGTCAGAGCATTGCACTGTGCATGTGTGCAGATATGATCATCACATGGGTACTGAGTCAACATGCCAAGTCAGCTCAGATGTTTACTATGCCCTCCTTCTTTCATCCAAAGTCCCAGCCTAACAATATATTAGAAACATATTACATCTGAATGTGAAATAGTTAGGCATGTAATTTAATTTTTAAACTACTTGTTCAAATTAGTTGAAATACTGTCTCAATAAAGATCTTTTTCTTCAGTTAATAGAAATCTCTAGAAAAAGCTAAAGAAGAGGAATTTATGTAGGATAATATATAATGGGCAATCAAAAATAGAGCAAATGTTTACATTTTTAAGGTTTATTAGAGTAAAAGATACACTGCCACAAATGCCCTTGAAAACACTCCTTCACGTTAAACACACTTATCCTGTCGTTCCTGCCACTTTCTGAAGCAGTTTTAGAATCCATCTTTCATACCTTTAATAAATGCAATCAAAAGTACAGTGAGCACAGCTCCTGAGTGCCATCTAACAGAAAGGCAGGCTTGTCAAGTCCTTACAGTGTGTCCTCATTCGCCTTGTTCATGGGATCTGGCACCGTGCGGCTTCTTGCTCTTCCTCAAAGTCAGAATAACCACATAGGGTATCTGAATCAATTCCGGACATCAAAGCAACCATGACAGCACACTGAAGATATTCATGAAAAAGTTCTTCCAGAACTGCTTCAGAAAGTGAAAAAAATTACGGGACTAAGTGTGTCTGAAGAGAGTGAGCGTGTTCTGAGGAGTATTAGTGACAGTATCTTAACCATAGTAATTGTTTTAATTTAAATACTGTAGTTTTTCCACCTTACATCATAGTACTTCTCAGAATCCAATAATACGAAATGAAACTGGGTCTTCCAAAAATCTAAACTAAGAACTGAAAAA